TCCAATTTTCTGAGATTTTAGAGGCAGATCTATTTAACTATTCTGTGCCTCTCTGGGCCTTTAGGCATGAACTATTCAAATATATATATATATATATTTGCTTCTACAGAAGCTGTTATCATGACCATGCTTAGTAAAACTAAAACAAACAAATATATAAATTCTAGTTCATAGATCCTTTAATAGTGGACACTGTTATATTTCCGCATAGAAGATTGATAGGATTTCTTTCTTCTTTTATAAATGAAATAGAAATTGAAAAACATTTTGCTCTAGGTAGTTTAATACTAATTCAGTTTGCCTGGAATTCACAAAAATGTAATTAGTAAGTTGTTTATATTTGAAAGTCTTTATTATTGACATTCTTAGAAATGTTACAGAAAATGCTCTGAATCTATTCTTTGTCAATGGCGCCATCTGCAGGCCATGCTTAGAAACACACCACAAAGTGGCGTAATCATTAACTACAGAAACTTTTGAGCTGCCCTTAAAAAACAAAGGCTTTAAACACTGTTTGGATCCTCACACTCTGCCCCTCACCTTTCACCTCCATTAAAATCTATTATCTATGGAGATAAAGGCTTTCTCAGTTTACTCAGAATGAATAGAGATTTCTCCACTTTCATATTGTTAGGTGTGATATTCATTATTAAGGTTAATAATAATAATATTTGAACTTTATTTATCTCACATTGGAGAAATGTATCTCTGCATATTAACCCATCCCCTTGGGGAGCAATGGGCTGCCATTGTGTGGCGCCCAGCGAGCAGTGTGGGGTTAAGGATTTTTCTCAGGGACCCAGAGTGGAACCAGGGACTTGCAACCTTCTCAGAGCACAAGCGCACTGCTCTGACCACTAGCCCAACACTCCCCTAAAAAAAATAATAAAATACAATAGCTTTCCTGTCTAAAATAAAATAAATGGAAATTTATTTTATTTTAGGAAGAATCTAGCTTTTTCAATTTTACAAATATTGACAGTATGCTTCTATTACAATCCCATAAAAAGACCTACATGAAGGTGGTAGGACAATTATTTTTTTCATCTGTCATTTTTTTTTCTTTCTTTTGTTATGCAAATACACCCAAGCCACTTTTAAAGCTCACATTTCCAATTTCCTTCACAATGCAGTAATTTTGAACAAACATAATTTCTAATCATACCAAACAAATTTAAAATTAATTAAAAAAAATTCTTCCCCTGGAGTAAAGATTAGAAAATAGAAATACTTTGTTTTGCACAGAATTTGTGATACAGACAGCTTGCATATAAAGAATAAAATAAATGACACTTTATCTCATTTAACAACAAAGCGGTGCTGATTGTGCAGCTCTGCTCACATCGGGATTGGAGCAGAGCTTTGAAAGTTAAAGAAAGATGATCCTCAGGCCTTGTTGATCTTAAAACATCTCTG